CAGCTCCTCTGTAGCTGCTAGGTCTGGTCCCCAACACACCCACCTGCCCCCGGCTACACCTTACCTGCTAGGCCTGGTCCTCCACACTCCCCCCAGCCCCCAGCTCCCATTACCTGCTAAGCCTGGTCCCGCCGCCACTCCCACCAGCCCCCAGCTCCTCTGTAGCTGCTAGGCCTGGTCCCCCACACTCCTGCCTCCCACAGCTGCTCTGTAGCTACTAGGCCTGGTCTCCCACACTCCCAACTCCCCCAGCTGCTCTGTACCCACTAGGCCTGGTCCCCCACATACCCACCTGCCCCCAGCTGCACTCCACCTGCTAGGCCTGGTCCCCTGCACTCCACCTGCCCCCAGCTCCTCTGTGGCTGCTAGGCCTGGTCCCCAGGACTCCCACCTGCCTCTAGTTCCTCTGTAGCTGCTAGGCCTGGGCCCCCACACTCCCACCTCCCCTAGCTCCTCTGTAGCTGCTAGGCCTGGTCCCCCACACTCCCCCCCCAGTTCCTCTGTACCTGCTAGGTCTGGTCCTCCACACTCCCCCCTCCCAGTTCCTCTGTACCTGCTAGGCCTGGTCCCCTGCACTCCCACCTGACCCCAGCTACACTGTACCTTTAGAGCTGGTCCCACACACTCACACCTCCCCCAGCTACACTGTACCTGCTAGGCGTGGCCCCCCAACTCCCACCTCCCCCAGCTCCGCTGTAGCTCCTAGGCCTGGTCCCCCTACAATCCCACCTGCCCCAGCTACACTGTACCTGCTAGGCCTGGTCCCCCCAACTCCCACCTCCCCCAGCTCCGCTGTAGCTCCTAGGCCTGGTCCCCTACAATCCCACCTGCCCTCAGCTACACTGTACCTGCTAGGCCTGGTCCCACACACTCCCCCCTGCCCCCAGCTACACTACCTGCTGGCCTGGTCCCTCACAATCCCACCTGCCCCAGCTACACTGTAATTGCTAGGCCTGGTCCCCCACACTCCCACCACCCCAGCTTCCCATTACCTGCTAGGCCTGGTCCCCCACATACCTACCTACCCCGAGCTACACTCTACTGGCTAGGCCAGGTCCCATACACTCCCATCTCCCCCACCTACACTGTATCAGCTAGGCTTGGTCCCCTGCACTACTACCTGCCCCCAGCTACACTGTAGCTGCTAGGCCTGGTCCCCTGCACTCCACCTGCCCCCAGCTACACTGTACCCACTAGGCCTGGTCCCCCACACTCCCACCTGCCCCCAGCTACACTGTACCTGCTAGGCCTGGTCCCTCACAATCCTACCTGCACCAGCTACACTGTACCTACTAGGCCTGGTCTCCCACACTCCCACCTCCCCCACCTCCCCATTACCTGCTAGGCCTGGTCCCCCACACTCCCACCTCCTCCAGCTCCTCTGTAGCTACTAGGCCTGGTGCCCTGATTCCCAGCTCTCCTCAGGTCCCCATTACCTGCTACGCCTGGTCCACCACACTCCCACCTCCCCCAGCTCCTCTGTGGCTGCTAGGCCTGGTCCCCCAAACACCCACCACCCCAGCTCCCCATTACCTACTAGGTCTGGTCCCCCACACTCCACCACACTCCCACCTCCCCCAGCTCCTCTGTGGCTGCTAGGCCTGGTCCCCCAAACACCCACCACCCCAGCTCCCATTACCTGCTAGGCCTGGTCCCCCACATACCCACCTGCCCTCAGCTACACTCCACCTGCTAGGCCAGGTCCCATGCACTCCCATCTCCCCCAGCTACACTGTAGCTGCTAGGCCTGGTCCCCCACATTCCCACCTCCCCCAGCTCCTCTGTAGCTCCTAGGACTGGTCCCCTACACTCCCACCTCCCCCAGCTGCTCTGTACCCACTAGGCCTGGTCCCTAGCACTCCCACCTGCCCCCAGCTACGGGGTACCTACTAGGCCTGGTCCCCCACACTCCACCTCCCCCAGCTCCTCTGTAGCTGCTAGGCCTGGTCCCCTACACTCCTACCTCCCACAGCTGTTCTGTAGTTGCTAGGCCTGTTTCCCCACACTCCACCTCCCCCAGCTCCTTTGTAGCTGCTAGGCCTGGTCCCTTGATTCACAGCTCCCCCAGCTCCTCATTACCTGCTAGGCCTGGTCCCCTGCAATCCCACCCACCCCCAGCTACACTGTACCTGCTAGGATTGGCCCCCAACACTCCCACCTGCCCCCAGCTACACTGTACCTGCTGGGCCTGGTCCCCCACACTCCGAACTGCCCGCAGCTCCTCTGTAGCTGCTAGGTCTGGTCCCCAACACACCCACCTGCCCCCGGCTACACCTTACCTGCTAGGCCTGGTCCTCCACA